CCCCAAAACCCCAAAACCCCAAAACCCCTATTTTTGATTAATTTATTGAATTTATAGAGAGCATGAATTTTGAACAATCCAGGTTTTTGAGCCCAAATGCTCCTAGGGCGAGTAGGTGTAGGAGGAGGGAACATGGGTTAGTGGAAATGAGTAGAGATGGGAATGAAGTGTGCTGAGGTTTTTGTAGATAGGGATTTTGAGCTTTTGAAGTTGAATTTTGATAAATTTTGTTAAAATTTTTATGTGAAATTTTATTGGAAGCCATAATAAATTTTGGATAGAAAGTCGGAGACAAAAGATAGAGGAAATTGTTAAGTAATGCATCAAATTTTAACACAATAGTAAGAAGCCACTCAATACAACATTCACAGGGTAAGAAATCTATTCTAAACCACTAAATTTGACTCTAACAACGTTATAGACTACCATTGGTAAACCTTTTACATAAATGCCTAGAGCGAGCCAAATAGCCCTAGTCGCAAAGACGGGTTTTTGAACGATTTATGGTCTTGCACCCCAAGCGATTGCTCTGACGAAGGTACATTACTGATCATCTCTAGAAAGATACAGAGAGAGTATGTCTGAACGGCTAAATTACCGTTTGAAGCTAGAAACGGAGAAATTGTACTATCATTTATCAAAGAATAAAATATGTGTAGTTCCTTCACAGGAGTATCAGTAAGCAGCCACAAAGCCTTGATCTAGTGTTAATCCTACTTTAGACAGGATTTCTCATCTCGTCCTTACTTCTCGATCATTCTGAAGGACATGAAGTTCACTAAGGCTAAGCAAGAGGAAGCTAACCTCAAGCGTCAGATGAAGAAGGAAAGTGAGATTAAATAAGCAAGAGGATCTTTCACGGTCTCTTACTAGAGGAGCTACTCTTGGTATGTACTCTTTCTTTTCTATTGGTCTGATACTTTTATTAGGCTCCAAAAATTACATGACTCAAGGAGACATTCAACGAGAAATAGAGTTTTCTAAATAAAGTTGGAAGGATCAAGCGAGATGGTGAGCAATTTTTATAAATTTAGGCCGAAAAAGAAACTTTCTCGAGGACGAGTTCAAGAATATCCATAAAAGGATCCCATTTCTCAAGATCAGTGGCTCTGTTGATTATAAACGCAATAAGAGGCCTAAATAAGATTGAAGAAGGTATTTTTACTCAAGTGATCTTATATTATAGTTAATTTTGAAAAGAAAATCAAAGTGAGCCTTCTCTTTTACCAAATAGGAGGAATATGATAGACGAAACCAAGCTAAGCTTCTGCTACAGGAGGCACTTTTTAGTAAATTTACAATGAAAAACGCGAATGATCGTACTTCTTATAAGAACATTGGTACTATTTCAGACCTTATACGATAGCTAGGGCTCTAAATAAATCTAAGAAGGGCCAAATAGCTCTTCTAGGGCAACTTCCTGACTTCACAATTGATGATAATGCCAAACCAAAGGATCCTGGATTCAAAAAGAACCAGAGTCATCGGACGAAGAAAGGTAATTTTATCAGAGAACCTCCAGATCCTGCGAATAAAGACTTGATTGATGCTTTAAAGGCCAAAAAGCAATTCAGTGCATCGAACAAGAAGAAGATCAGTAAGAAATGTAGTAATTTTAACAGCTAAAATGCTGAAAAGCACTATTGAGAAATAAGATCAACGTAAGTCCTGGGCACATACATAATTTAGAATTCAGTTTTACAGAATGAGTTCAAGAAGTAAGCCTAAAACATAACCCTAGACTCCGAGTCAATCTCGAGCTTAACATCCTGAAAGGTTAGACTTCGCCTAACGATATAGATCGGGAGAACAAGAAGTTGCTAGATGTCTTGCTCCCAAGGAAAAGACATAATTCGAACATCAAAAGAGTTTTAGAGTAATAATTTTCCGTCTAAATAATTATAGAAAGAGCAAGTAAGTCCTTCAAGTGAGCTCTTAGGAACATGCTCAAGAGAAAGTATATGCACCGAGTCAATGCTTGTGAGAAAAAATAATTCAATTTTGAAGCAATCTCGAGGGGTTTTGGGGTTTTGGGGTTTTGGGGTTTTGGGG